TTAAATATCAAATATTTATGTTAGGTATCTATTTACATTGTCCTAAAGATCCCTGGATAGGTTGCATCCATGTCTTAATTTTTGTACCAAACAACTACTTTTTGTCTCTTGATTAGCGGAAATGGTTATGTGATTGACATTTCTATATATATTCTAATCTTACGAAAATATTTATTAACTGTCAATACTATTTTAGTTTTCTTTGTTTTCACGGTAAAAACGAAATCTTCTAAATGGCATCGTTAATCTTCCTAATAATTTTATTTTTTACTTTGCGAATTAAGTCGAATAAACCAGATAAAATTAAGGAGTAATAAATCGGTCATGCCTATGCATGAGTGCCTTCTTTAAAAACTTTCTATCTCATTATTTGAAAGCTAATCAAATGATTAAAATTCCGAGTGAAAAATTTAACTAATCTTATCATGAGCTGTGCAGTGTGCAATCACTTTTATTTTCGATGCAAAACACGAGTTCATCATCGCTTAGCACACTTTCACGCTATTACCGGAAATTTTATATAGTGACCAGTATTCACCGATACTTTGTAAATAGTAATGAAGAAAATTATTAATATTTATGCAATCGGCTTAATAAATTTTATGTTGAAACTGTATCCAATCTATTTCAATCCAGATGCATGAATATCGACCTAGACTTTTACTATACATTTTAACGCTTTTTTGAATTGTTAAACTTTGTTTGTATTTTTTTTCATCAATATGTCAATCTCTTAATCACCATTGTATTAAAATAGTTCGGGATTTTTTATTTGTTTTAGTATTAATCAGTTCTCCTTTTAAGAATACATATTATGGTTTTGGCAACTCAGAGTAACGAAATATGTTAACGAATTTGGCTTTCACGCGATCGTTTTCTTTTATGTTCACGTGCGCAATTTGAATTAAAAAATATTTGCCAATGATAAAATAGTCACGGAGAGGTGAAACTGCTTTGACAAGTGTACAAATTATGAGTTTGATGAACCAACGTTTTTTGTTATTTGCGAAATTCGTATTTATTTACTTTTTAATGAATTCTTAATGATTCTCCTCAGGAACTGTTTTCAAGCACTAAAAATATCCACGGAACAATAATAACGGTTAATAACTACAGTTTATTGTATACAAAATGAATTTTAAAACACTTTTTATAAATAAATTTTGATCTGCTCGTTATTTCTTTAGGCATAAGTGTAGAATTAGTATATTTTGTCATTCGGGCAGACAAATCATCTATAAAAGTAACGCGTAAACGAGGACAATATTTGACTTTGAACTGCAAGCCATACCTTAAAAAATTGTTAATCTGTATCCGCCCAGACGCCGCGCGATAAAGTAATCCAATCATCGGAACAATAAATTAGAAAGTTTGTCAGTGATTTCGTTTGTGTATAATTTAATTTAGTTAACTTATACCAATATACCGATAACATGTGATATATTAAAAGCAATAATATCGCTAGGTTTGATAATAATTTACAACTTTAATGTCACTATGGAATTATATCAACGAGAACATTTATATAAGAATTCGTAAGAAGTACCGTAAATTTCACCGGAAGCTATAGTAAGTCATTTGTTTGATATGTTTATCCATCACAATTACTATACCTGGGAACATCTTCATATACGTTCAAGGCATTAGTATATAAAAACATACCTATCCAGATAAAGAAACAACATCTGGTACGCTGTGTAAAAGAGACCATCTCTCGGAACTTGCTTGCTATAAAATAGCACCGCACACTGTTGAGTGCATGCGATTTTCTCGTAATTCTCCCGACGATGAGCGTGCGCCGACCACTGCTATGTAAGGAGCACCAGACAAGACTTTTAGGTACAGATGCACTAGAAAGTAACATCTCTTTCGGTATCGTCATTGTTTACAATGATGGCATTTCTTTATCAATAATACCATAGTATCGAGATTAAAAAATTGAATAGCAGTCATGAGTCGTATTTTTCAGCAATAAAAATAACTTGCATTTTTTTCTAATAAAATACGCTATACTTCTAAAAAACCAAGGTACTGTAATATTGTTTTGATTATTAGACGAATAGAAAAAATATTTTTTATGTTACATTTCCAATTTAACGATGAAATTACAAATCAATATATTGTGAAAAGTACGAATACCACCTATAAATCAGAGTAAATAAGTCAAGTATGTTTATGTTACGAGTACAGAGAGGACTGAAAAACTAATAAAAATCAAAGAAAAAGAGGTATCCAATGAAAAGAAAAAGTTTGAATAAGTGTAATTATCCATTAAAACGATTAACATTACCTCTCAATCAAGGCATAAAAAGAGTTAATTCTACATTACATAAGTAATGGACGCAGGTGTACTTGCGTGTATCTGTGCATGTATTTGTGAGCACGACGAACCCGTGCATCAAACATCAGGGACATGTGATGTATGTATGTGTTCGTAGGTCGTTGTACTTCGTAATGCACACATTGCAAGAAACTCTCTACGGCCCTGAAATACTCGAGATCTATATAGCTATACACACTATATAATGTCATCTTATTTGTCTCGTTATAGCCTTTACTACGCGATAAGACAAAAGTGAAGGCCTACACATCAAAAGGTAAGTATAACTTTCATTTTGAATATATATATATATATATATATATTCAAATATATAATATAATATATAATATATATATAAGATTACCTATTTGGTTTTTTCTCGCTTTTAAAAGTTGGCTTTTTCCTGCGACGATAAGTGTTCACACGCGCGGATTTTAATATTGATGAGCTTGCCGTTTCAAGCAAATCAAGTGTAGACTGATGGTTTAATGAAATTATCAATCGTTTTGTTGCATGTGAGCACTCACGTGTTGGCGTTGATATTTTCATAGTGCTTAAAATACTGCGATATTATTTCGAATAAATGAAATAACCAATTTGTTTTTACTATGTTGAAAATTTATATTTACAATTAGTTAATCAATTCTTAAAATGCATACTCGTATAATTTGCCCTAGACAATATGATTTAGTTCTTATGAAAGGATACTTTGTAAATCGGTTATTATGTAACTTTGTGCTTTATAGAAGAACAATATCAGTTCTAAGCTTTTAAAAATGAAGAAAAACTATTTAAAAAACCCTTTAAAAAGTTAGATAACATAAGATATAATTTTATATTCAAAGTATGTTTTTGTATTGAGTTAAAAGTTTGTATTTTTGCTGACATTTGATTACGAAGAGTCGCAAGATTTGCTCTGTAATATCCGCCCGTACTCTCACTCTCTTGTGCTTTTCGTGCTTTGCATAATTCTCTCTTCATACTCTCATACACTCATTCACAAAATAGAATAATGGTTAGATCTACTCGTATTTTATTCTAACTATATTTTTCATAAAATAATAAAAATTATACTATTAAATTGGCAAATATTTTTTTCAAATACAATGCAACTTTGATGATTTCATATTACATGTATACTTTATATATACGGCTAATTGTTTCTTAACAAACTATTTTCTGAATTGTAAGTCTGATAAATCCAATATTTAATATTATTATAGAATACAAAAAAAATTGTTCATATAATTAGTGTTAAAAACTGTTAGGATCAAAGGATAAAGTTTTACGTCGGCAATATAGATTTCGTTATTAGTCATTGAAGAAATCGACGTTGCTCTCTATCAGAATAAAATAGTATAAACATACAACGCAGATCTGACTCCTCAGTCGCGCCCATTTTTACACAATCTCACCTATTTTCCGTGTTATCCCTTTAGAAGTTCATACTGAAAATAAACAAAATATAATCTTCAAAGAAAACAATAAAAATAAGCTTTATAAAATTGGAAAACTACATTATCTACATGGTTTGATTTAAATAAATTTGATGAAAATGCTAGAAAAACAAAACATGTAAATATTCATAAACATTCTTTTGAAAAGAAAACCTCGATAAAAAGAAATCGTAAAAACAATACAACAGGAAGATTAGGTGTTATATTGCCAAAAGATAATGAACAATATCATTTAAAACTTATTTCAAATAAAAGAAAAGGTGCCGTATCATTTGAAGATTTAAGAATGTATAATAATATTACATAAAAACCTTGTAAAGATACAACTTATACAATGGAATTAGTTTAAGATTATAAACATATTATAAAAATATTTGATGAAGCTTGTGGTGTTATGTTAACAAAATAATTAAAATTATATTTTGTTAACTCTTTAATAGCAGAGAATATGTCAGGAAATAATATTTAGGAAAAATTTATATTAAAACTTGAAGAAGATTTCAAATCTTATCATGAACTTTTTGCATTGAGACATATTAATACTTTATTATCTAAAGAAGGATCAATGACTTGTAGTGATTAAAACTTACCAGAAGCAGATGAAGATGTTACAGAAGAAGATGAAGTAACAGATAAACATTTTTTATTGGAATGTACAGAATCTTATGAAATTATTTATAAAAAATTCAATTCTGACCAAAAATTAATACTTAATCAAATATTACAAAATGAAAATAGAACAATTTTTATTGATGAACCTGGTGGAACTGGTAAAACTTATTTGCATAAAACATTGATGTTTTATTTTTTATCTGAAAAAAAGTAATATCAATGGCATTAACTGTAATCACATCAATATTATTACCTAAAGGAATGAAAAGTCACAGCACTTTCAAATTACCTTTAAATTTGAATTATTTTGAAACTAGTTTTTTTTTAAATTAAAGTCTCATAAAAAGAAATTAAGAGAATTGGATTTAATAATTTAGGATGAAGCTTCTATAATCCCCAAAAAAGCTTTAGAAATACTTAATAGCATATTAAAAGATATTTGTAATAATGATGAATTATTCGGCCGTAAGCATAATATAGTAAAATAAAAATCTAACCATATGTTAGTTATAATATTACAAATTATTCTTATAAATTTATTGCTAGCTTATAAAATATCGTAAAAAGTAAAAAAAGAATACGATGTTATAATATTATAATTCATTATTTTATTCAGAACTATAAATCACAAGTTGCGTACCCATACTGTAAAACCTATTAACATAAGTTATTACAAAAAAATTCAAGTTCAATACACATTAAAAATAATATAGAAAGAAACTTGTTTTACTAAACATAAAAGTAAAAAGATTTTCTGTACAATGACAAAATTAAAGTAATAAAAATTCGAATATACCTAATCAGATTTTTCATCGGAAACTACAGAAGAATATGAAGTATCGAGGACTATAATTTACGCATGTTCGTTATCAAAAATTCCAAAATTAAACAAACAGAAAAAAGTCATACAGAAAGTCTTACATCATTTTTTATGACTTTCATATTATGTACGCTTCTCCTATAACGCTTATCCCATTTTGGTATTTATTTTAAGCTTAAATCTATGCTGTACAAGCTTACCAACCTACATCCTGGATTTACTGTAATAGAGAGACATCGTTTAAAAAATAAAACGAAACATGACTATTAAATAAATAAAATATTCACATAAAGCATTCATCACATAACTTACGTACTTTGTATAAAAATGTTACGTTAGGATATACTTTATTTATTAAACGTACTCTTTGTCATATATAAAATCAGCACCATTTTAAAATAAAGTACACCCAATAAAAAACAAAGATTTTAATTTTGTCACGTATCAGATATATTTTTTAGAAAATGTAATGAAATTTTTTAGAATTGAATGAAAAAATAAAATACAAAAATAAGAACAAATTTAACCAGCTTATGTCATGTCACAGCTTTAAACTTCATGGAAGTTTTTGACAGATTGAGTATCTATATTTGTAAATATATGTATTATAAGGCAAACTACAATCCCGGTCATAATTTCCCCGCAATTATTCTAAAACCTAAATTTGAGTACTATGTATTCTTAAAACGATATGATTTCCAGTTTTAAATGAATGTTATATTTTTCTTTCAGAAAGTGACATTTTTAATAAGTACGTAATCCAAACTAACTATAATGGTCACATGGATTGTTTAAAAATAACTTGATGGCAAGACAAACCAAGTGTTTATACGTGAGTTGAGGCACATTCAGAAATCAAATAATAAAATATGATTTAAAATATACGACTACAAATAATAATCATGTGAAAAGCACACAATCATTATTATTTCTAAGAACCTTTATAAAAATTTATAATACATAAAATTATTATAATGCTCATAGATTACAATAAATTATTTACTACTTTGTGAATGATCACATTTTACTATTCGATATCATGAACTGAAAAAAATCAAATACATGCCTGTTTCATTTTATGCCTCAAAACGCTAAAAATTCAATAGTTATATAGAAAAATATTTCGGCACAATCTATTTGTATGAGATACACTCAATCTATTCAGATTTATATAAAACATCAATCGATATGTCAATTTAGTAAAAATAAGCAGTTTATCAACAAATCAAAATGACTGCTCAACCCTTTTTGAACTTAAGGAGCAGTATCGCGATTGTAAGGAAGATCAAGATCCATGCAACGGTGGCAATAAAACCTTCATAGACAGTTGGGTTATAGATGTCCCATCCTCTGGCAAGCATTGCTCTAAACGATTCTGTACTCTTAGTTAAGGGTAGTAAGTAACTAATATACCTGAGTATTGGATGCATGCCCTCAATTGGCCAAATTATACCGCACAACATGACAATTGGAAGGAATGAACCCATTGCCATGTATGTTGCGCTTCGTTCGTTCTCACAGGAACACGCTACTACAAAACCTGTTAAATATAATTATATTAGCGATTATGTCGTTTATAGATCGTAATAAACGAAAAATCTAAATAGGTTTCTGAAGACATGCAATATTTAAATTTTTAATTTAACGAAAAAGAAGAATAGAAAATAATATTAATAATAGGAACAAATATTGAACGTGAGAAATGTTTGATCAACAGTTTGAAGATAATTTCAACTATGTTAATTTCAAAATTCACTTTAACGTAAACTAGTTTATATAAAACTCATATCTACCGAAACACATTCCACAGAAGCCAGAAAGTATTGTGAGTATGGTAACCCAGATAATGTCACCCTTGCAAGTAACGTTGAACACGGCAAATGCCACGATGAGCACCATAATGGTTTGGCCTAACATGACGACAAACTGAGTGACAACTTGGCCAAATAAGATTTCAGGACCGGTAACACCTGTAATTTTTATTGATTATAATTTGTATTGATGCAATTTAATACAAAATTTATTGTAATTTCAAATTATACGTGAGCTTACCGACAACTAAACTTCTTTCAAGTAAACCTTCATTCCTTTCAAGTAACATAGCACCAGATGTCAGAGCAACAGACAAAAAAAATATAATACTGAAAAGTTAATAACATTTTCATATAAATGTAAAATAGATGTGTTTTTTCTATTTATTATAATGACTTTTCATACTCACGTCAAAACGACTCCAGGTGCCGCGAAATCAGTAAAATTAGGTTCTTGTGGTCCATAAACAGGCTCGCGGAACTAAAATATACATTTTTGTGAATTAACGCTATAAAAAAATGTTAGTTAAAAATAATGGATATTTAAAATTTAATCCATCTTACCGACATCGGGATAGAAGCAATTTTTTCACTATAATTGAGTGCTTTCATCAAGTCGTTTGTAAAGTTCTGAAACGCCATGTAAAGATCTCGTTGGAGTAATTGACCAATTTGTTGATCTAAAAATTGAGTAATATCAGAAAATGAATGTTTGAATAGAAAATTGCAGTATTGAAAAATAGTCACAGAACACCACTTTACTTACTCGACATATCCATAACAACTCGCATATCGGCATCTTCGATAGTCATATCATCAATCTCAGCACCATTCATAATTCTCAGCATGAGTGCCTCCGTGTAGTTACTAGGAAAAGTAATTGCAGCCCAGGCCCAACCTTTTTCCACAGCACCATACGCATCTTCTTCGTAGTCGTACGGTAAATAGACCACTTGACGTGCTTTTAGATGGTCAAGGAACCAACAACTCAGCATCGATATGTCAGGTGTGCAAGGATCCATGCTATTGTTCAATTCGTTGTTGACAATCGCCAATTTTAAACCCGTTGGATCGTGGCCGATCGACAGGCAGAAAAGAATTATTTGTACCACTGGTAGACCGATTATAAACAACATTATTCTGGAAATAGATTCGTGCCAATATAAACATTATCTTCCAATTGCACAAATCTTATTGTAAACTTTACAATTGATTGCATTAAATATTTACCCAACGTTTCTCCACATCCATAAAAAGTTCTTCCAAATCAAAGCTTTCATGTGTTTAGGATTGAGCATTTGAAATTTGTGTGGTCCTTCTTCCTCGGGCGGAAGATCTAGAATCTATAAAAGTGAAAGTGAACACACGACTTTCATTTTCGAGATCGAACTAGATTGGTATGACGCAAATCGAATTTGAAGGCGTGTCTTATGATATTTACGTCATCATCGGATGTCACAGCTATACTCCTCCTTCGACTAGATATGCTAACGTTGTCGCCAAACTCTCCGCTCATTTCTTCATCTGCATCCTAAAATAGTATTTCATTTTTAATAAAATGAACGAATATTGATTAAATATATCAAGATAATGATGCCAAGGTGTATAATTAAAATTATGATATTTTTTATGCATTAGATTAACAACGTTTTATTTGTTTGTTATTTTTCATTATTTTTAAATATATTTCATATTGAACTTACAGGATCAGGTAAATTGCCAACGACACTGCTTAATATGCTACTTCTTCTCCTTAGACCCATATTTTGTTGTCTACTAAGTTTCAAAAACACATCTTCAAGAGTTTCAAGTCGATGCATTTCCATGAGTCTTCTAGGTGATTCCTCAGCTAAGAATCGTCCACCACGCATAAGACCAATCATACCAGCTTGACGAGTCTCTTCGATGTAATGCGTTGTGATAATAATAGTTGTCTTGCCATCTTTTGTTATGTGCACCAAATGATCCCAGATACTCTGACGTAAAACTGGGTCAACGCCGACGGTCGGCTCATCGAGAATGAGGAGTTCTGGATCGGCCAGTAGAGAAGCTGCGAGGGAAACTCTTCGTTGCTGACCGCCCGATAGATTTTTTACGAAACGATTTTCTGATGGCAATTGCAGAAACTAAAAGATTAAATTAAATTCGAATAAACAAATTATGAGCTTGTTCTGTAATCGATGCCATTTGAATTTTATAATGAAATCTAACTATGGAAGTATTTTATGAGAAATTTCATGATAAATATGGTATAAAAAAACATAAATTCACTTAATACTATCAATTTAAAAGGTTCATTTTTTTACTTACGTTTAATTAACAAAATAGTTAATATTTAAATATTAAAATCAAGGCCGTATAAATGTAATTTATTCAAAATTGATGATCAAGAATTTTGACACGCAAGTTAAAGTATTCGTATGATATTTAATATTTCGTTATAGAAATATTATCAAATAACTCGGTCGATAAAATAGATAGATATTAATAAAATTAATAAAATTAAAGTAGCCGTTCATATAACCTTAAACATTGCTCGCGCCTTATAAAAGAATAACAATAGCGCAAGACACGCCGTTAAAAGATACCATATACGTGAAAGTAAAGGCTCACCTTGAGGAGGAACTCGAGCTTGTCTTCCACTTGATCAGTGGTCATGCCGGCACACCAGCCGAAGAATATGAACGTCTCGCGAATGGAAAATTCTCCGTAGAGCGCGATTTCTTGAGGCATGTAACCAACTCTTGGACCAGGCACACCCGAACCTTTAGAACCTGGTCGTCCACCGAGAACCCATATCTCGCCTGAGTTCAAACGGCGACGGCCCACTATGCACGAGAGTAGTGTTGTTTTGCCGCAACCACTGGCGCCCAACAGTCCATATCTGTAATTTAAATTTCGCATTGATTAAATTTTTGTTTTTCACTGTATTTTGTAATGGTCATGGCATAGGAAGCTATGAGTAAACTTGTGTAAAGTTGATAATGCTTTGAAATCATTGAATTCAGATCAATTAATTATTCAACTTTTTATTATAATTAAATCGTAGTTCATGATATCACAAATATGACCAATAATATATACTATAAAAATAAATCATTCTAAGCTAACGTGCTAATATTTCAAATATTCAAAGTTTCTTATTCAGCGTCGCGTAATTTGGATAAAAGAATTTCATGCAAACTATATCGTATTTACATAATCCATATTTTGAGTTATATTTATGTACTTATAAATATCTGATTTTTTAGTTTCAATTCGGTGAATCCACCCAACTTTCAATCTTAAAACTCAATTTAGTAGGTATCGTTATAAAGTTAATTCATCTCATTACCCTCACATCAATTGTCATAATCAATTCAAAGTAGAAAAAGAACACGTAATTTATTTCAGCATGTCTGCCAATCAAATGCAAAAAGAAATAGTAACCAGATGTATGTATACTAACATGGTGCCTTTGGGTACAGTCATGTTGAGGCCATCAAGGATGACGTTGGGGTTACTCTTGGGTCCATACTTTTTGTAGGCCCTACGAACGCAAACTGCATGCTTCCGTCTCGTTGCAACCGTCGACGCCTGCGTTTGAAATTGGGCCCTACGGATCTTCAACTCGAGCGACGTCACTGGCAGCGTCGCGGGCGGTGACACTGTTCCGCTCGCCGCTGCTGCCTCCATGACTAGAAAATCAATTTTCTCTCGATATTATATTTAAACTGTTAATTTCATATTTGATTTTAGAGACATTTTCAAGAAAAAAAAGCTAACATATCATGCATTCAATATAAGTTATATTTATTGAGCAACGCATTTCGAGAATTCGATCGAATAATTTTTTATATAAATAAAAATAGTCTTAGTCTTATTTATGTAAATTTTGGTACCCTCTGGTTTTTTAATGAAATAATCGCCAATAATATATAATATGCTCTAACGCAAACGTTGCTTCGGTAAAAAAAAACTCGATTAAAACAACAAAATAAAACAATTCAAGATTTCTTTGTAAGTATTTTTCTTTATCTCGCAACAACAAAAGGTGAACTTGTCGGTGAGTCACCGCATCCAATTTGTTTACTTAATTTGGACGATGTAACAAGCGAGCAGTATCACAACTTGTTTCAAAAGCTACCGCATATAAAAACTCTTAAGCCAAAATTACAACAAGCCATTACAGCGACTTCCTCGAGTGAAAAAAGAGAAAAAACTAAGCAATGTATTGCGCTGGATATAAGTATAGCAGGTGGATAGACATGCAGACATATGCGCACATGAATGCAGCGTATTTCGTAATTCGAATGCGTGTGATTTCATCGCGTCGATGAAAGGGAGAACGCGGCGCGCATTACCACAGCTGTTTCAGCTGCACGGATCGCGAGAAGGCAAAATTAACGGCGTCTCACTTTTCTCCGGATGATGCACGAAGGCCGAACAGCGAAAGGAACGCGTGTGTGTCTACGATGCCTGATTAGGAGTACACTTTACTTCGCCGTGAGAGCGAGAGTCGCTGGAGATATATGCAGGTTAGAGGTGTCGATCCTAATGTGAAATGTTTTAATGTAGTTAATGCATTATACATCGTAGTTGCTTTAGCGTTTTTGAGAATATGTAAGCCTCATTTTTTGAAGGAATGCGGAAATATTTTGTTTCAATGATCACGCTAAAGGTAGAGCATTGAGAACAGAACTGTGCTGTTTTTTTAACGCAAATTGGTCACAGACATGTTCTGTCTGTAATGAGTGTACAATCTCAATTCGATCATTAACGATCATTAGTTTTAGACTATCAAATCTATGCATACATGATAGGTAGATCAATTGAATGACATAACATATTATGAATGCATGATCAGTCCTAAGTCCACGTGCAGAGATCAATAAATCAAAAGGACAATATTATATAATCATAGGTTTTGCAATGTATGGCGTCTATTTTATTTTAACGAATAGAGTGCACGCGAACCGATCAACGGTATATAAGTATCACCTTAAATCTTCGATGTTGTTTTTATTCTGTCCTCGATAAAGTTTTTTTAAGATCGGTAAGGAAATAGTTATTAACGCACTAATGTTAGCATTGCAAATGCACTTTTCCACTTCGTTTTTCTGTATAAATTATTCATTAAAAATCTAATTTGACGAACTGATATGCGCATCGACTCAAATATGTGTCACTGTCCTTGCTTCATTAATTGAATGAATTTTTACAATATTCATGTCTGACGCGGTAATGAACTTCACTGGGTTGGCATTTTTCTCATAATAAAACTTGGTGACCTTCTGTACTATCCTCTAGTAAAACATTTTTTATTGAATAATAAATATATATCTGAAATATTGAATAGACAAATAACAACGAAATAATGAAATAAGTAGCAACAAACGTTGTTGATTTTTGCAAATACAACGAGATCTACTTTTTTTTTAATTTGATGAGAAAAATACAATTTTCAACAAACTGAGATCGAATGTAATCATAGCCTTCTTTATAATCATCTTATTACAGCACTTTCATTTTCTACAGTTGTGTTGAGATAATAAACGTCAGTTAAAGGTTAATATAACTCGCTGATCAATACGGATATATTAGCACACGTTTACCAGCATGATACTTACACAATAGGTCACGTTTACCGAACTAAAAAAAGAGGCTCACAAAAAGTAAACGAGTTTACGCAAAAAAAGTGCAACGACATAGGTGTTTTCTTCTTTTCCTGTTTTCATTCTCTGAAAACATTGATATCAAGTATCGTCTGATAGTTTGAAATGAAGGCATATATGTTTCGGTGCCTCCTCTAAGAAAAAATTAGCTTATGAGGTCTGCAGCCTCTTCAATTAATCAAAAAACTATAAACGGTAAAAAGTGCTTGAGCTGTTTTTAAATTCACCTTTCAATGCCGACGAGTTTTTGATCCAACGAAGGAGAGTAATAAAAACTTTTCGCTGAAAGGAAAATTATGCGATGCTTGTTTTTTGCTGGATAAAAATGCAGCTTCAAAGTGTTTTTCTGAGAGACGAATAAAAATATGTAACCGTTTATTATCTTTGGAAAAAAGTAAGTTGTTGATTGCTACGATGATAATTTTGCGAGTTACGTAGCAATTAGATATCGAACGTGTTTACAGTTTGTAGAAAATATTTCAAAGTTTAACTTGATAATCAGAAAGAAACTTTATACTGATAGTTCTTCTGAAATCTATATTAAAATTTAACCGCCGTTACATACTTAAATTTCGAAATTATTCATTCCAGTATTCAAAAATGTGGTAAATTATTATATTAAAGAAACAATTGAATTAGCTTCGACCTACACTTATGAAAAAAAAACAAGCAGCTATTAAGCCTATAAAATTAAGTCAACTAGCATCCAATTGTGTAGAACACGCGTCTCGGAAGCTTTTACTCGTAGTACGGTAATAACACACCGGATTTTCGAACACGGCATAGACATGATATGACGCGACTTTTACTGTAGTCGGTTCCGCGATCAATCGCGCTGTTTTACTGTTCAGTCATCGACGTTTCAAAACTTAGCGCTATAAATCTAACGATTTATAGCACTGAAGCTTCAACATTTTTAGTGGACGAGTTTTTTTAACCTCTTGTATTTTTTACAATTTTGCTTTTAAACTTTTGGCTTTTTGTGTGCACTTTAAGATAAAATTTATTCTGAATATTTATAGACTTGGTTTTTCGCACTAAAGTATTTATATTTAAATTGCATTATTACATCGATAATTATAAAAGGAAAACACAATCTCTTGTTATTATTGAGTCGATTGACGATTGATTTACTTTTAATTGCTTAATGATTGCTCTTGTTCAATATGTCTGTGACAATCAAATATCATTTGACAGTTGCCAGAAATTGATTGTTTTGAAACTAACAGAGCTTATACATTGTATAGGTACACTTCAAAATCATTTAGTGAAATTCCAGGTAGATTTTACAATCAGAGTTACAAATGTCTACTGCTCGCTTCATTTCTAAACCAATTCTTGTAATACATGTTGATCAATTTACTTTCATTTTATAAGCAGGTTATAATTTATCAATAAAACGACTGAATCATTAATTTTTTTTTAATTGCTTACGTAATCAATGTATTACAATGTTTATTACATATAGTATATTCATATTTCTCCAATGGTCTACACTAACAAGTATCTAAATTTTGCACTGAATATGCCAAATATTTCATATACTCGTAACTTTTGATGAAAACTATGATATCAATAAAATCGATATTACGTAAACTAGAGGACACATTGGATTCCTCCTACATCAAATTAGTTAAGAACGGAATAAGCAATTTTTACCGAGCAACAATTTACCGCAATTCATGGAAGTATATGAGCCAAAAAAAATCTATATAAAAATATAGAACACGGAATCGATCGACACGCAGCCTCTCAATCTGTTTATGTAATGCAAAAACAGAACCGGCACGGTCGCACATGTAACATACTATCGACTGCGCAGGTCTGCTGGGCGCGTAGTAGCCAAAGGCAAGAAATTTTTTACCCGGTATCCGTTATTTCAGGTGAAAAGTATAAGCTTACCATCTATGAAGAGTTAACTTTGAAAGCTGTCGCAATATAAAAATTTAGCATTATTATACTGAAAATAAATAAAGTAAATATCGTAGATTTTGCTGGAAAAATGTGAATTTCTTTTCTTTCAAGATTATAGAAGCTATTCAGAAATGAAGATTTATGAAATAGCCGCTTGATTTTTATTGTTATTCATAAGCCAGCTATTTCGATGTACTAGAAGAAAAATTTTCTTGTAAAAATCTTACAAAATCAGCAAACAAAATTCAGCTTTTTAAAAATATACCGAGTAAAAATATATGACTGATTCAAACCACAATGTCAAGTGATGAAATTCATACATACTCGCTGGGATTTTCAGAAAAGAGAAATCGCTCAAATTTTTATAGAACGTTTTGGAAATCAGTATTAATGAAATCAACCAGCCACTTTCTTCTAGTAATCGTGATGACGCGAGTGCTTTGTCACAATTTCCAGATTTTTGTTCATAAAAACAAAAATCGTAAACGTTTGAAATGACGTCAAAGTAAATTTTGACATACACTTTTGCAATCGTTTACACGACCAATGTTCTTATGGACGATGACGTTCGATTCAAATAAGTATAATCAAGACTAACAATTTCATGAATTTAAATCCGCGTAATAAACTATCGTGACAATCCAAAGTGTAAAATAATCCAATAGCAGATGAATTTTTTTTCAAAAGACATCTTGTCAATAAAATCTAACATCAATGCAATTAAATGACAAACAAATTTTTTAATGTGTAAGAATAACGTACGCTATTTCTCAAGGTACGTACAGCTTTTTTCAACAGAAAAGGTCGGCCTTGTGCAATCGAGAATTCCTGTGCTAAATTGTTTTTGGATACATACTCGATGTGCCGATCGCGGCATTTTAATATCGGTCAAAGTCTCGCGCTAATTTACGTTAAATGTCGATGTATTTTTTCACGAGTGGCACGGTTGAGTAATAATTAATAATCGTTAAATGTGTGCAAGCGACGTTACGAATTATTATGTCACAAAATGATATTGACGAGTTCCCTTAAGAAATCAATGAATTTCGTATTTAAATACAAATCTTAGTCATGCTTTGTAATGACAAATGCTGACAATTTATACTTTA